AATCAATGAACTGTGTGAAGTCCAAGTGATTGTCAACATTTCTTATTCCAATTTAAATGTGTTTTGTTTATGTTCAATCTATTTAAATTTTAATTGTTGTTGTGTTTGGAAAGCACGATATTTATTTAATGTTGTACTTTAAAAATACAACATGCAGTTATTGAGCTTTAAAAACATAATATTTAATAAATATTGTGTTTTATAAATACAATGATGTAAAACTATATTATTTCATCAAACCTTTTTTAAAAGAATATAATTCTCCTAAATTTTTAAATTTAATGTGCGAATCTTATGCTAATCCAACAAAAAAAAAACCTAATAGCAACTACCAAGTATGTGGACATTATAAAATGTTATAGGGTAATGAGATCATGGACACCATGTCATCAATCTTGGTAGATTCCAATAATTTCATTGTTAATGGCGTACGAGTTTGAGTGGACGAGGAGGGCTTGAATCTTTAGAGTAGGCACGGGGAAGGAAAAGGAATAAATGGGATTGGCTTGTAGCTGCAAGGCATATAATTGATTTGGGAATCTTTCAAAAAAGTTAGGTCAATATTGGATCAATACAGTGCCCGCCCGCCTTTGAGCTTCTCCGGACATCGTTTTTGAATGGTCTTGTTAGGAAGAACACCACCTCTGAGATTTCTCTATTATAAACTATAACTCAAAATTGGTGAGGTTTAGAATAAAATAATCTCAAAAGTAAAATAAATAAATAAATAACAAGTTACATTAATTCTAATAACATGATCTTTATACTTTAAGGAAATTGAAATGTGTTATCAGAAGCAATACAATATATAGTCTCTGCCCTCTTTTTTAAAAATATTTAAGAATGTAGTATTGATTATTTTTTAAGTATTTTTTATTTAAAAATACATATCAAATAATATAAAAACAAATACACCTACAGCCAAATTCATTAATTATATTATTTTTTTATTTTTTTTCCTGTGCTATTAAAAAAAAAACATGTAATAGAAACCATATTTATGGTGGTGTGTTTGGAATTGCATTTAATTTTGTTTTTTTTTATTCACAAAATGCTCTCTCCTCTTCATTGCCTCTTTTTATTTGTATGTTTTTACATGGTAACTCCTGTGTTAATATCACCAATCCTAACTAGTCTCCGAAACGTGAATTCAAATCATATTGGACAATGACAAAATAATATTATCTAACTGATATTAAAAAATATATGATATAATTATATCTATATATCTTAACACTATATAATGTAAATTCTGTATATATAACATTCCATTCTTGTACAAGAAAAGTAATTTTTTTATTATAAATTAATTAACAAGGATTATTATTATGGACTAGATATTACTTCAAAAAAAGAAAAATTAATAAAAGGTTGAATTTGAATTCCTTGAATTTTACTTTTATACGAGCTTTACTGAATTTTTTTTTTTAAATCTTAATTATGCAAAAATTATTATTTATAATTTTTTTAAATTTAATTTTTTCAAATTACAAAACAAAAACCATCGCAATACAACCAACAAACCAAATTAATATTTATTGATAGGGCAAATCTAAATTGTGAAGTTTCACGGCATCAAGACTACAATTGACGGCAAAATAATTTCATATCAAGGAGGTTCACATCACGGGCCTGACAATGCCATGATTTTCCAAGGGCTTCATTGATTTGCCCTATAAATGGCCTGTCTCATATGCCTCCAACAAAGCGAACGGTTCCCTTGAAGCCACGTATTTTCCCAACTTGGATTTTTTTTCTTTTTTACAAGGGGTCAATTCAATAATAATTAATTATGCGTAATTAGGACCCTTGAAACCACAAGGATAGATAGGAATAAACTTCAACATGTTGCTATCTCTCTATAAATCCATGAAGTTAAACTTTATACAATAAAATAATAATAAAATGGATATGGTGAAAGATTTGTTGTCAAATAACATAATATATTGACAAACTAGTTATGATTGACTGTTGATTTACAATTTTTAGTTTCTATTAAAAAAAAGAGTTAGTGAGTGTGAAAAGAGTGAGGTTATCGTTAATTTTAAAATATTTTTTATTTAAATATATATTAAAATAATATTTTTTTATTTTTTAAAAATTATTTTTTATATTAGTATATTAAAATAATTTAAAAATATAAGAGAAACATTAATATTAAGTAAAAAAATCTAAAAAAAAATATAAATTTTTTAAAAAACATTTTTAAAATATAAAAATAAACAAAACTTAAGTATTTATCCAAATACTTATTTATATATATATAAAAAAGAAGCATTTACTTATCTACATCTCTTTAATTAGCAACTGTAT